TTTGCGCACCCCATCTATCCTGCTCTGTTCCCCTGGCTCAGCCAGCACCTTCCCCAGCTCCTGCACCCTGCAGTGACTTCCCTGGATTTCTCTGCACTTCGCTCGTCCAGCGTCATGGGGATCCTTATCTTCCCTTACGGGAGGAGTGTGCTGTCTCCAAGAAATCTGTGCTTATGGGAGCTTTGAGACATTTTGCCACCATCTAATAATGGTTCTTTGTCCTCCTAGAGCACTCTCCTAGTTTGGGGAGCAAGGGGGAAGGATCAGAACCCCATGGTGGCAAATAAGGGCAGTACACAACTCTCAGCTATTGGTCCAGGCTCTCTGCAGACTCAGGCAGACATCTCTGCATCAGTTACATTTGGATCAGGCTTTCAAAGCACCAGAAAAGCTAGAAACAAACGTGTGGAACGAAAGCTGGGATTCCCACAGTCCTGCAGCAAAGGGGCTGGGTTCTCTGGTCAATTCTGTGACAGGGCTCTGTGTAGGCTGGGTTTGCACAGACTGTAAGAATTAGACCCAGATGCTCAGCACCACAGTGAGATTTCCAAAGGTGTTTCGGTGCCAAACTCCCATTGAAATCAATGGGAGCTCAGCGCTTGAGACCTTTGAGGATCTGCGTCCCAGTGCCCTGTGAACGGCTGGTTGTAATTACCAAGCCGCTCCTAGTACAACAGCACAGGCCATGCCCAGCAGCAGCTTGCTCCCATTGGGATACGCTGACAGACCACGCAGGGTTCTCTCTCATCACCGGCCAACGTTATTCTGTTTCAATGAGATTCCAGACTCTCTCTCCTGCCTGGACTTGAAAGAGACGCTCATACATATTGCATCAAATACACAAGGACCCGGTGACAGCGACACGGATCAGACATGTGCTGCTGAGAGACGGGAGAGGCTGATGCAGGATGGTCTTTGCTGGGGCGGTAGAGAGGACACCCCATCTCCCCTGGGGGAGAACTCAAGACATTGCGCTGGGGGTGTTTTAATCCTCCCGGCTCCTTGTGAATGAGCAGAACCCCATCGTCCCCCTTTCCTCCCCGTCCTGGAGAGGATCTGGATCCCCTGCCTTGACGAGCACATGGCCCAGGGGTCTAGATCACAGGTCTGGTGCTGGCCCCACAGAAGCGAGAAGCGAGGGTGGCAGCACTGCCACAGAGCCTGGCTCACCTTTGGGCGTGATGTCGGTCCCGTTCAGAGCTCCTTGGATCACGGCTTGGGCCTCTGAGTTCTTCTTCTTCAAGAAGTCGATGGTCTCCCGCAGGTCCAGCAGCTCCGTGTCCTGGCAGAAGCACAGGGAAGATACCCTGTAGTCCCCGGCTGGGTGGAGGTGCCAGGGACATCGCTAACCCACGCCCACAGCAAGCACCTCCCCACACAGCCAGGACACATGCCAGCTGCTTGCTCAGGGTGCTGGGCACAGCGGGCTACCAGCCTCCAGGGTTAATAGCCAGAGTCCTCCAGGGATGCC